GCGCATGATGATCTCAAGCTGGTGAAGGAGCTCGGCATATCCGGCATTTGCATTGTGGGTGGTGCCATCCTCTGCATGCTGAAGAAGTTCCCTGCGCTGATGACGCCAGGCCTCCTGATTATCTTCTTCGGCGCCCAAACTGGTATGAACATGTACATGAAGGCCGTCTTTTCGTCCGCCACCGTCCTCGATCCAGCGCCCGCAGAGTACTGTACAGACGTTGAAGGCCACTGTGCCTGGATGGGCTTCCAGGCATCATTCTTCGTCACCGGGATACAGCAGTTTGGTGGGTTCATCATCTTCTGGATCTTTTTCCTCCCCGCGCAGGCGCTCGGCTTCAACAAGCTGGGCGACAAAGAGATCACGATCAAGAAGCTGACCTCCAAGAACGAGGTCATCGCGGTGCTGTGCTTCGCGGGGAGCTTCACGATGAACATCGCCCTGAACAACATGTCCATGGCGCTGATCCCCCTGACGCTGAACCTCATCATCCGCTCGTGCCTGCCGCTGTCGACCTTCGCCGCGCAGTGGCTCCTCACGAAGTACACCACCGGCGAGGGCAAGCCGTGCAAGCCCATCGAGATCGGGTTGATGATGCTGGGCGCGGCGATGATGTGCGTGTGCGTCTGGGCCAAGATTGCCGCCGAGGCCGAGGGGGAGTCCCACAAGAAGGCGGGAGCCGGCGAGTCTGCGAAGACCGTGATCGGCGTCATATACTGCGTGGTGCTCAGAGCAGGAAGAATGGAACTGTTGTTGCTGACAGGAGTCCCCCGTTTGCGCCTCTTTGGACAGCCTGGAGGGCTCTCGTCGCCATGGCTGGATTCGCTTCGGAGTCCTGGCCTGGGAAAGGTCCAGGCAGTAAGTGGCATCAGTCGATTTGTTTCCTCAGGTGTCCCTGTTCTCGGGGAGCGTCAACCTCGCGCTCGCCGGGATCCTGAAGACCTCCGTGAAGCTGGATGGGTTCAACACCGTGGTCTCCGAAGAGCAGAAATAGATGACAAGCAAACAGACGCTAGGAGATCCGCGTGGATTTTCTGGGTTGGCGCTGGACTCTCCTGGCGATTCCAGGGGCCTGTCCAGCGTCGATCTAAGAAATCCGCTTAGACCTCCGAGAGATCATCCCCCACCCGACAGGTCGGGGTTGTTCGATTCCAAGAATCAGGCGATCCCGCCGCCGATTGTTCCATGGGAAATCGCGGATTCCCGCCGCCGAACGAGGCGGCACCGGCCGCATTTTGGGGAGGGCACCTCCCCCGATCCATAGATTAGGCGACCGCGCGCCAAATCCATGGATCGCTACTCCATGTTTGCGCGCCCCCGAAAGAGCTGAGGCTCCGAGCCGCCTCGCACACCCCGCGTACCGCGACCGCCAGGCCGAAAGCGTGGTGGTGCTCCCTGGGTGTCGCGCCTCGTGCCTTCGACGAGGCACAACCGCTTGCCGCGGCCGCCAGGCCTAGAGCGCGGCGATGCTCCCCGGGGGTCCCGCCACTCGCTCTTGGGCGGGGACGGCTCAAAGCAACATGTCCAGACCCCCGACGTCATGCTTTCACAGCGTCGACCCCTCAGAGGTCTCGACTTAAGTCGGGTCTGTCCCTCTACAGGAGGAAAATTCAAGAATAGTTAAAAACTAGCCTGGGGACGTTTTTTTTGCATTGTTTCACCATGTTTGATTATTTGGCGGCAATTTGGCATTTCTTGTCCAAAATCCGCCTGTAGGGGGACACGCCCTACCGAAGTCTCGACCCATTCCCTGGGACCAGTTTCTCCGTCAGCGAGGGCCCCAGAGTCAGACGACAGCGAGCACACATCCGTCCTGCTGGTTCCCAGACGTTGGAGATCTAGACAAGGGGATCGCTCGAAGCACATAGTTCTGTTGTCCTAGGTCTACAACTCCATCCGAAGAAGGAAAAGCGGCATAAGCATAAATTTTGAGAGCCCCGCGCGGATTTCTTGGATCTGCGCCAGAGGCGCCGCCACGGGGCCCCGGCGCAGATCCAAGGAGTGCGCGTGGAGAGCCGAAAGTTCCTGTCGATGCCGTTCTTTCGTCCTCTGTCCATCCCCGCCGCGATCATCCTGCTGCCCTTTGTGTTCCTGCTGCAGCACCCCGTGAAGCACTGGGACGGAGTGGGCTACACCAACGACGCGTGGGTCGTGGCTCAGGTTTCGCGTCGTGCTGCGTCCTCCTCCTCCTCCTCCTCCTCCTCCTCCTCCTCTTCCTCCTCCTCCTCCTCCTCCTCCTCCTCCTCCTCCTCCTCCTCCTCCTCCTCCTCCTCCCTCTCCTCCTGCTCCTCCCCCTCCCCCTCCTCGTCGCCCTCTCGCGTCGGGCTGCAAAGGGGGGACGCGCCCAGGTCCCCGCGCGGCGTGCAAGGCAGCGCGCGCGCAAGGTTTTGGGATCTGGCTGGGGGCCTCCATGGGCCCTTACCAGGCCCCGCGACCGTCAAAACTGGATTGATAAATCGGAGAGGAGGAGGAGGAGGAGGAGGAGGAGGAGGAGGAGGAGGAGGAGGAGGAGGAGGAGGGAGGAGGAGGGAGGAGGGAGGAGGGAGGAGGGAGGAGGAGGAGGAGGGAGGAGGGAGGAGGGAGGAGGAGGAGGAGGGAGGAGGGAGGAGGAGGGAGGGAGGAGGGGAGGGGGAGGGAGGAGGGAGGGAGGAGGGAGGAGGAGGAGGGAGGAGGAGGAGGGAGGAGGAGGAGGAGGAGGGGAGGGAGGAGGGAGGAGGAGGAGGAGGAGGAGGAGGGAGGAGGGGAGGAGGAGGAGGGAGGAGGGAGGAGGGAGGAGGGAGGAGGGGAGGGCGGAGGAGAGGAGGAGGGAGGAGGGGAGGGAGGGAGGAGGGAGGGAGGGAGGAGGGAGGAGGGAGGGAGGGAGGGAGGGAGGGAGGAGGGAGGAGGAGGGAGGAGGAGGAGGGAGGAGGGAGGAGGGAGGAGGGAGAGGAGGAGGAGGAGGAGGAGGAGGAGGAGGAGGAGGAGGAGGAGGAGGAGGAGGAGGAGGAGAGGGACGAAAACGAGGAGGCGGAGACCGAGAAGGGTGGGAAGGGGGGAGGTGGGGGAGGAGGATCGACGTGGCCGCATCTCTTCCTCCTCCTCCTCCTCCTCCTTCTTCTCCTCCTCCTCCTCATTCGGGGCTCTCGGCTAGATGGTAATGGGGGGTGGCCCAGATGGGGGGTGAAGAGAAGGGCCCTGAAGGGGCCCTATAGGGCCCCTTGTGGGCCCCTGCTGCGACCAAAAGGTGCCCGAAAGGGCCCCTTGGGGCCCCTCAGTGAGGGCCCTTTTCTTCACCTTCCATTTTGGTCCCCCCCATTACCACCCGCCTGGGGCTCAAGAGACGGGAGTCAATGCAAACCGCGGGTCAGTCGGAGCGCCGGATCTTGCAGGATCCTGCAGAGCCAGGGGTGATTTGACCCCGGCGTGGGCGCAAGATCTTGCATGATCCTGCAGGGCCTGACTGGCCCGGGTCTGGATTTGGTCGGGTCAGTAGATCTCGAAACAGGACTCGGGATGAAAAGCCCGTCCAGGGGTGACCAGGTCAGAAAGAGCGCGTTCTGTGGTCGCTTGGAGGGGGTGGGGGGGTTGGAACCGGACCCCCCCCCCCCTTCCCCCTCCTCCCCTATGGCAATGGCCTCCGGCCAGTGCCACCGATCCGGGGGGCTCCAGATTTGGTGATCTTGGAGTCGTCGGGGACGCTGGGCGCTCCTGGAGTCGGGGACGTTTCTTGGAGCTGACGTGCCCTCAGGGGGGGTGCATGGAGCGGTCCCGGGGGCGGTCCGGGGAGGGTTCCGAGGGGAGGGTCCTGGGGGCGGCAGCGGCTAGATCGCTAGATCTGAGGGGGGTCCTTTGGGTACCCCCCGAAACGAGACATCTTGGGGATGCGCAAATCATTAAGAAAGCGCCGGATGGGGGACCGTCCCCCGCCCTGCCCCTCTTCCCCGGGGGGGGGGGCTTCCGAGGGGAGAGTCCCGGGGGGGGGGGGGTCGCTGGTACCCCCCGAAACATCTTGGGGATGCGCAGATCATTAAGCAAACGCCAGATGGAGGACCGCCCCCCCCCTTCCCCCCTTCCCCGGCACAGCCACCCTGGCGACCTCCCCCCCAAGCAGAGCTGAAGCTTTTGCTCAGGCTCAGAGCTGAAGCTCTTGCTGAGGCCCCTTGTAGTCCACACGCGGGATCGGCGGATTTCTTCTCCCTCTCCTCGGGCCGGCGCCTGCGTCGGCGGCGGCTGGCGGCGGCGGCGGGGACGACGACTTCCTTTTCTGAGCTGGCGCCGGCGTCTGCGGCGGCGGGCGGCGGCGGCGGGGAGCGTCGACGAGGACGACGGCGACGACGATGACGACGACGACGCTCTGCCACCGTGCCTTGGTTTTGGGTCAGAGTCCTAATGGATGCCTCTTGGGGTCTCGTCGGAGGGCTCTCGGGGGCCTGTGAAGGGCATTTGTGCAGCCTCCTGGGCGCCTCGTGGGCGTCTCTTAGGGCCTCTCTGAGGTGGTGGTGGTGGTGATGGTGGGATGTGGTGGTGTTGGCGGTGGTGGTGGTGATCATGGTGTGGTGGTGGTGGTGGTGGTGGTGTGGTTGGTGGTGGTGGTGGCGGTGGTAGCAGGTTGTGGTGGTGGTTGTGGTGGCAGGTTGTGGTGGTGGTGGTGGTGATGGTGGTGGTGGTGGTGGTGGGTGGCTGATTTTCTGGTGGTGGTGGTGGTGGTAGTTGTGGTGGTGGTGGTGGGTGAAAGTGGTGGTTCTGGTGGCGGTGGTGGTGTGGTGGTTTGTCGTGGTGGTTGTGGTGTGGTGGTAGTGGTTGTGGTGGTGGTGGTGGGTTGTGGTGGTAGTGGTGATGGCGGTGGTGGTGGTTGTGGTGGTGGTGGTTTGTTGTGGTGGTGGTGGTTGGTGGTGGCGGTAGTGGTGGTGGTGGTGGTGGTGGTGGTGGTGGTGGTGGTGGTGGTGGTGGTGGTGGTGGTGGTGGTGGTGGTGGCGGTGGTGGTGGTGGTGGTGGTGTGGTGGTTTGTGGTGGCGGTGGTGGGTGGTTGTTGTGGTGGTGGTGGTTGTGGTGGTGGTGTGATGGTTTGTTGTGGCGGTGGTTTTTGTGGTGGTGGGTGTTGGTGGTGTGGTGGTTGTTTGTGGTGCTGGTGGTGGGTTGTGGTGGTGCTTGCGGTGATGGTGGTTTGATGGTGGTGTGGTGGTGGTTTGTGGTGGAAGGGTGGTAGTGGGTTGTGGTGGTGGCAGTTGTTTGTGGAGGTGGTGCTGGTGCTGGTGGTGGTGGCGGTGGTGGTGGTGGTGGTTTGTGGTGGTGGTGGTGGGTTGTGCTGCTGGTAATGGTGGTGGTTGTGGCGGTGGTGGTGGTGGTGTGGTAGATTGTGGTGGTGATGGTGGTGGTAGTTGTGGTGGTGGTTGTGGTGAGTTTTGGTGGTGGTGGTTGTGGTAGTGGTGATGGCTATAGCGGTGGTGGTGGTGGTTGTGGTGGTTGTGTGGTGGATTGGTGGTGTGGTGGTGGTGGTTTGAGGTGGTGGTGGTGGTATAGTGGTGGTGGTGGTGGTAGTGGTAGTAATCGTCGCTGCGTCCCCGCCGTCGGCGCTGCTGGCCGCCGCCAGCGCTGACGCCAGCCGCGGCGCGGGGGGGGGGTTGGACCACCCCCCCCTTCCCCCTGGGCCCTCTCTGATCATCGTCGCTGCGTCCCCGCCGTCGGCGCTGCTGGCGGCCGCCAGCGCGGGCGCTGGCGGCGCCAGCGCCGAGGGGAGGGGGGTCGGGAGGGGGGGGGGGGTTAAGGGGGTGGGGGGCCCCCCTGGTTCTGACCGACGGCGCCGTGTGTTAGCGTGGGGGCCCACCCCCTAGCTTGAAACGCGCCGCCGAATGTTTCCAAGGCGAGCGCCCGTGAAACGCGCTCTCTCCTAGGTCGGGACCTTTACGGGGTCGACGTTGTGTAGGTCGAAGGAAAAGGAAAAGACGCCACAAACATAAACTTTTGGCGCTCCTCCGGGATTTCTTGGATCGTCGCCTGGGCCCCCCCCGTGGCGCCTCTGGCGCCGCCGCTGGCGCGCTCCGCGCGCCAGAGAGGGGGTCCAGCGCAGATCCAAGAAATTAGCTCAAAGCGCCCAAAGTTTATGTTTTATGGCCTTATCTCCTCCTTCTCGTAGAACTCATGGCGCCGGGGATCCAGGGACGGGTCAGGGGAGGGGGCAGGAACTCTGCTGCTCACATTTGGCCTTGGTATCGCCGCAGGGCGCTTTCCTTCATGAGCTGATTCGCCACCGCCCCCCAGCCATCTCCCTCCTCCTTCCTCCTTCAACCTCCTCCTCCTCCTCCTCCTCCTTCTCCTCCTCCTCCTCCTCCTCCCTCCCTCCCTCCCTCCCTCCCTCCCTCCCTCCTCCCTCCTCCTCCCTCCTTCTCCTCCTCCCTCCTCCCCCCTCCCTCCGCTTTCGCCCGGGCCACAGGTGTGGGAGAACAGCAAGTCCACTTTCATCTTCGGTGCCAGCTCCGCCCTGGCTTCGCTTGTGTACAACATCCTGCAGTTCAGTATCGTGCAGTATCTGTCGGCCACCCACGTCGCGTTCGCGGGCAACTTCAACAAGGCAGGGGGGCCACTTCGAACCGGTCTTAGTTTCGACCAGCCGGGTCCGACTCGATCCCGATAGTTACGCCCACGATCCATGGCGCTGCTGTGCATCCTGTCGCGGCCGATCCGATTCGGTTTTTGCTCCGTTCGATGCAGCCCGATCCTTGGGAGGCAACTCCCGGGAGGTTGATTTCAGCATCGGCGTTGGTATATCCGTGGTCGACAACCAGCCGAATCCGGCAGAATCCCGTTGAGTGCTACCTTCAGGTCCGCATAATCTGGCGTCATCGGGTCTACTCTTGGATTCAAGTCGGACCTGACCCGGCTTACAGTCGGACCGAGGTATAAGATCGAGGTCGGTTCGGGGAGGGTACCTTGGTGTTCCTTGTGTTTGCTGGATGTTCTTGTGCATCCTGGGGAGGCTACCCTTGGATGTTCTGTCTGTTTTGGCCGACGGAGGGTCTCATGTTATTGAGGGATTCTCTGCTGGCCCAGGTCCAACTGTAATGGTCCCTAAATCTCGGGGGCGGCAAAGAGGTGGGTCATGACTAATTAGGGGGGGTGGATGTCATGGCGGGGGCCATGATATTTCCCCAGATTTTACGACGCCTCTTCTTATTTCATTAGGTACCTGCCCCCCCCCGCTGGGCCGCGCACATGCCGCTGGTCATGATTTGCACCCCCCCTTGGACACCCCCCTCTTGGCCGCTCCCGAAAATCGGGCTTGCTCGACTTTAGTCGCTCGTGCGAAGCCCTCCCGGAAGATGCCTCCTCATGACTCGACGCGCCTCCGAGCCCAGCCGACCTCCCGAGCCTCCGCGGGCCGGCCCTGCGGAGGCCGCCACCGTGCCGCTCGCCCTGCTGGTCGGCATCGACCACCTGCCGCAGGCTCGGCCGGGGGCGCCAGACGATACTCAGAGCGTGAATGACCTACCCCGCTTTCGCTTCCAGGCAAAACCAAGCCACACCACGCGCCTCCTCGTCAAGCGGCCTGACCAGTACAGGCTGCAATTTGGCATCGCTTGGTATCTCTTGGGAGCGAGGGTGGTCAAAAGCGAGGCAGGTTTGCTTTCCCCCTAGATACGCCCGCACCGGTCCGGGCCAGGCCCGTTCTTAGGCGGGTTATTCGACTTCGCTAGGGGAACAAGCAATGACACAGAACATAGAAACTCGGAGGTTCGCGCGGATCCCTCGGATCGGCGCTGGGGCCCCCTGGCGGCGCCTCAGGCGTCGCCCCTGGCGCGCTCCGCGCGCCAGGGAGGGGGATCCAGCGGCAGTCCGAGCAATCCGCGCGGACCTCCGAGTTTTTTGTTGTTTCCTGTTATTGTTTGTTCCCACGTAAGAGTGGTCCTTCGCCAGAGGAGCCCTTGGTGCGGGTCTGCGGGGGTCCCCCCGATCGCTGAGTAAGATGCGGCAGTGGCTGCTTCCGCGCTTGGAATCGGCCACCTTGCGTCCCATTAGTCCGAGCGCTGAAGGTTTATGCGTGAGAGTATGGTTGGGCATGAGTTGTTGTTTTCCCCGGCTAGAAACGCACATGTTTGTTTATCAGTGGTCGCTAATAGTCGTTAATAGGCGCTGACAGGCGCTCTAATAGACACTAGCACGCACCAATATGCGCTAGCAGGCGCTAACAGGCGCTTGAAGGGACATCTGTATACACGTACAGGTGCTAGTCGGGCGGAATTTGTCCCTAGATGTACATGCTCGAAGGACAAAGCAGCGGCATAAATACGGTGCCCCCGCAGTTGCGGGAAAGATCGGGGAACAAGTGCCACGTACATGTGACATTTTGGAGGTCCGCGCGGGTTCTTCGGATCGGCGCTGGAGCTCCTTTTGGCGCGCTCCGCGCGCCAGGGAGGGGGGTCACGCGCCGCTCAAGAACTCCGCACGGACCCTCCGCAACTTCACATGTTTGTTTTTCGTCGCTCCTCTAAAAAAGCGAGTCGCCAGAGAGAGGGGGCGGCGAGGTCGTCGGCAGTCTGCGAGGCTTTGAACAAGCCCGCCGCAGGCGCCGAATGTTCACACATTTCATGACGAGCCCCCCTCCAGGCGCTGCCTTTTCGTCAAACCAGTGTGGGTGTGTCGTGGGCGGATCGGGCCATCGAAAACCGAAGAACCCCTAACCCTGGCCTCACTTAGGTCCCCGTCTTCGCATCAGGGACAATCGATCTGGGCGGTGTGGTCTGATACATGTCCCTAATGTGTTTGGCCCTCCTGACGTAGGTCCACTCTCAAAGGGATAGGGGTACGGTAGGTTTGCGTCGTGTCGACCGGCGGCGACCCCAGCGCGGGCGTTCAAGGTTGAACGCCGCCGGCGACCCAGAATCGATCGATGTTGAACGATCGGACGTTGCGGCAGCGGCCGATCGTTTAAGGTTGAATGATCCCTGCGGTGTCAAAAACCAACGCTGGGGTCGGCACGACACGAACTTGCCGTACTCTCGTTGCTTCTCATCGTGGGTGGGTTGCGGGTGAGCCGCAGGAGGCTGACGGATGGGATCGCGGAGGCCCACTCCAGGCACGCACCCGTCCTTATCGGTCGTTGAAAATATGCATTTTTGGAGTTACAGAACCCAATGTATGTCAAGCAACTTCCGACTTCAATGATCGAGCGGCTTCACCGTTCCGTCCTCCTTTGGGGGCGGGCAGACACCCCGTCTACTTTCAACGCTTTCCTGCTTCATGTTTCTACCTACTTCTCCCGACCGATGGGTGAGGAAATTCGGCCCCCTCCTTCTCACTTTTGGATGGCCGCCCAGAGTTCTTGGATGTGCGCTGGTTGGGCGCGAAGTTATGGGGGAGCGCTTAAAAGGCGGGAAGCAGGGTGCCCTCTTCTGGCCCTGAGGCCCTTTTCTGGGCCCGAAAGGGCCCCGCGGGGGGCCCTGCAGATACCCTTTTCGGCAGTCCTCGCTGCCCCCCCCCAAGTAGCGCCCCACCGTTTATCGCCGCCCACGCTGGGCCTCCATGGCGGTGCTTCCGGCGCCGCCCTGGGCGCCCAACGCCGATCCAAGGAGCCCGTACTGAGCTCCGAAGGTGCAGATGTCTCTCGATTCCTGCTCGGCCAGGAGGGCGCTTGCGCCAAGCCCTTTTAGGCGCTTCGCGTAACCCATCCACTTTGCCTCATTCCGCCCTCTGGACTTTTCCTTGCGGGCCGCAAATAAAAAAAAGCAACCTATCCACTGTCGATTCTGGGTTCGCTTGCTCGGCGTCCTGCTCGGCACCTACCTCGTGTTCCTGGTGCCGCTCCGCCTCTTCGCGCCATGTTGGCCGCGCTGAGTTCGCCTCGCCCTGGCGTTGCTCGCAACTATGTTTTTCCCTTCGCAGGTGGTATCGCCTGCCCCTGTTTGCCCGGCGTCCGACTCGTATCGCACGCCCGCGTGCCAAAAAGTAACCCCACCAGCCCATCCAGAAACGATGCCAAGGCGAGGTGCCTCAGGCAGAACAATGACTTGTGCTTCCTCGCCCAGGCCATTTCGGACGTTCTAATGGGTAGCTAAGCCCCCCGTCCAGGTCCAGGGGAGGGGGCAAGAGGACGGGTCAACCCCTTGGTGGAGGAAAGCAGGCACATGGAAGAGGAAACCGGCTAAACTGTGGAACCAACAGGTACCAATACCGTTTCCCCCCGGGACCTCTTTTGGGGTGCGTTCTGAGCAGGATTGCGACGCGAATCCAGCGGTGGCAACGAAAACCGCCCAGGAGGCGCCAAAAAAGGGAAAACGGCCGAAGGTTCGCGGTATGGGTACCCATTCTTCTTCTGCGGAACCATTCACGCCCTGAGGGTTGGTGGAAATTGCAGCGGGCACCCTCCTGCAGGCACCGTATGGTGCCATCATGGTCGTTTCGGCCATCATCAACATCATCTCCTTCGCCGCGTACAACGTGGTCTCCGGCGGTGCGGGAGGCCACGGTGGGGCGCCGGCGGCCAGCAAAGAGAAGGAGAAGGCTCGGGCGTGGCGCAATGGAGGGGCGATGGATGGGTGTGAAAAGAGGTGCACCTCTCATCGAAGAAGGAAGAGCGCCATAGATCAAAATGTTTGGCGTTCCGCGCGGATGTGTTGGATCCGCGCTGGGCCCCCCCTGCGGCGCCTCTGGTGCCGCCCCTGGCGCGCCCCGCGCGCCAGGGAGGGCGGGTCCAGCGCAGATCCGAGAAACCCGCGCGGCGTGCGAAGCATTTTTTATGGCGTTTTTGTTGTTCTTGTGCTAGGCCCCAAAAAAGCGCGAAAGGTGCACATTTCTCCCCCCCTCCAGTTACCACCGCCGCCCATTTAAGCAACGCTCAAGAAGGAGCCCATGAAGGACGCCGAGAGCAGCGATGACGACGAGGACGAGAGCGAGAGCTCGGAGGGCGGCTGCTGCTGAGCGACGCGCGGAGGCGGTGCAGGCGAACAAGGAAGCAATGCATGGGCATTCCAGGAAGTCGGATGCACAAGGCAAGGTCGGCCATGGCGAGAACTGTAAAAGTACACGCGGGGCCACATTTCTTCCCAGTGCTGGGCCCTCACGTGCACAGGCAAGGTGATCCTTTTACATGTGTATCCGGCAAGTGTTAAGTCGGGCATGTCCCTCTACAGGAGGGATGTTCAAAATTGTCAACAAATAGTCAGGGGACGATTTTTGTTAGTAGTTTTGGGCATGTTGTAATTATGTGTGTTTTGTTTGTTATCGAGTTAAGTCCGCCTGTGGGAGGACATGCCCGACCCCATGTTATCCTTTACATGCGTATCCAGCAAGTTGCCTCCGGAGGTTCCACGTGTGTATCCAGCCATGTGCGTTTCCAGCATCTTGGTAAACTTGCGGAGCTCCGTGCGGATGTATTGGATCGGTGTTCGAACCCCCCTGGCGGCGTCTCAGACGCCGCCCTTTTCGCGCTCCGCATTCAAGAACTTTGCGCGGAACTCCGAAGGTTTGTGTTCATGCATTGGTCATCTTTCCTCACGCACTGCGGCCAGCGATCGACAACATCGTACAGTCAACCCGCATAGTAAGGATGAGCGACTTTCCAAGGTTACCATCGTATCCTCGCCTCCTCGGTCCATCCTTTGCCACTTTCGTTGGCCGCGCCCCGGTCGAAAAGCTTGAAGATGGCCTTCCAAAGGCCCGTGCATCCTTATCGTGCGTCCTTATTATAGCGGTTGGTTGTATGCTCATGCATTGTGCTCTCCCCCCGTGCACAGTGGCCAGCGACTGACAACGCACGCTCGCGGGACGACTGCGGCACCGTGCTGCCAGCCTCGGCACTCGTGCGCACGCCGTCCCCGGCCAGGGCGAGGACGAAAGGGCGGGGGCTGGGAAAGGGGCCTCGCCCTGCGATCTCTGCGGTTCTGGTGAGCGGGTGTCGGTTTTGGACGCCGCACCCATTTCGGGCGTGCAAGTTATCCCCCCCTGACCTTCCCCCGAGGAAGAGGCAACTGCATGAACATCTGGGCCACCTCCCAAGTGGCGTAAAGATAACTGCGATTCGCGCGCTGCGACCTGGGCCTGAGAGACGCCCACCTCCCGGGGGAGAGGGGGGGGGGGGCTCGCGAGGCGAAGAGATAACCGCGCGTCGCGTATCTTCGCGTACCTCCGGGCGCAATGCGCGAAGCTACATGACGTCGACGAACAACTCCCAAGAGGTCCGCGCGGAATGCTTGGATCGCCCCCGGCGCGCTCCGCGCGCCAGGGAGAGGGTCCAGCGCTCGGCGCCGATCACAGAAATCCATTGCAGATCAGAGAAATCAAAGCAACGAGATCCGTCCAGCGCCGATATTTGTCTGAGGTTGGGGGGGTGACATCGACATGGAACGGAGGGCACCCCACCGCCGTGGTGTCCCGTTGGTCCCCCGTAAGTGTCCAGTTGGTGTCCAGTCGCTGTCCCGTCGATGTCCCGTCGCTGTCGCGTCACTGTCCCGTCGCTGTCCCGTCGCTGTCCCGTAGCTCTCCCGACGGTGGCCCGTCGGTGGCCCGTCGGTGGCCCGTCGGTGTCATGTCGGTGTCCCGCGCGTGTCCCGACGGTGTCCCGTCGTTGTCCCGTCGGTGGCCCGTCGATGTCCCTTCGGTGCCCCGTCGGTGTCCCGATTATTGTCCCGATGATTGTCCTGATGTTCTGGTGGTGTTTCGATGGTGTCTCGATGGTGTCCTGGTGGTGTCCCGATAGATGCCCTGGCCGAGTGGTGTTCCAGTGGTGCCCTGATAGTGTCCTGGTGGTGTCTGCATTGTGCCCTGATGGTGTACCGATGGCGCCCCAATGGTGTCACTAGTGAGATCGATCGTGAGACATGGGGAAGTGAGACCGTAGAGAACCCGATACGCCAAGTGTCCAGCCGGTGTCCCGTCGGTGTCCCGTCGGTGTCCCGTCGGTGTCCCGTCGGTGTTCCGTCGGTGTCCTGTCGGTATTGTCGTTGCCCCGTCGGTGCCCCGAGTGTGCCCCGTCGGTGTCCCGTTTGTGTCCCGTCGGTTGTCGGTGTCCCGTCGGTGCCCCGTCAGTGCCTCGTCGGTGTCCTGTCGGTGTCCCGATTTGTGTTCCGATTGGTGTCCTGATGGTGTGTTGGTGGTGTGCCGATGGTGTCTCGATGGTGTCCATACGTAGTGAGACTTGAGGGTCAGATCGCAGAGAACCCGATACGCCAAACGGGTTTCAATGTCACTGTCACCGGCCATGGAAACGATAGTGATATTGATCGAATGAAGTTGATTATGGCATCGGTTAAGGGTGATCGGGCACCTGAAAACGATTGACGGAATGCGACAACGACCGCGATAGAGGTATATCGGTGGGGCGATCAACAGAGAGATCGGCATTGGGGTCGATACGCGCTCTGCCTGACGAATTCACTTAGTGCCAGGAACGCCCCGGGGCCAAAATTTATGCCACCGTTATCCTGCTAATCGACGCTTCCTCTATTGTCTTTCTCACTCCACCTCTTTCCTCGCCTTTCCTCTTTCTTTCCCATCCTCGCACCCTCTTCCCTCCCTTCTCTGTATCCAGGTCCTCAGAGGCCGTGGGGCAGTGGGCCGGAAAATCTGCTGGGGCATTGCATCGGCACGACGGCGGCGAGGCCGCTCAATGCGCCATGCCTGTCTTCAGTGTTAGCACCTGGACGCGATGCTCCAGGTCATGGTGCCCGGCGCGCAGCGCGCATTTTTCTGCGCGCGGAAGGCCGCTGACGAACGCGCGTTCGAGTGGCTCATGGACAAGGGAAAGCGGCGCCATTTGGCGCGGCAAGTCTTCACCGTTACCAGCTTGATCACATGGCCCATCGGCGAGAGGCGTGAGATGCGCCAAGAACTCGAGCCGATGCTCCACCATGTCGGAGCGGAAGCACCAGCAGACTTGGGAATAATGGTGGTGCCTTTCGGATCCTGTCGGGCTTTTGCACGCTCACGTGCAGCGTCTGCAAGTGGGCGCATCTGCGCGAGACGTTGTTGACGGCGTACCCCTCATGGCGTTGTTGGCAACGCCGAGTGCCAGGGGCACCGCGCGCAGTTGAAGTCGCTCCCTCCAGGTTATGCCAGGGGGTTCGCGATGAAGAAAACGCATTGCCAACTGGCTGTCCAAAGCCCTGGTGCGGCGGCGCGGCACTGCGTGGTCGAGCTGGAGATGGCGCCCGCCTTGATCGCTGCCTTGATGACGGGGCAGCTGCAGTCCGACGGCGTGCCGAGGCTTGCTGACGTATAGGAGGAACTCCGAGGAGGACATTTTAGACTTGCGCCCTTGGTTGGCCAGGTCGACGACTGGGCATGAGTCCTACAGGTGGGGCGGCGGGGGCATCATTCGCACGAGCGTGGCCTTCTGGGTGATCGGCGTCCCCGCGCATCGACAAAGTCGCCGTGACTCGTACACAGCTGGGGAGTCTTGATGCCCCCGCAAAACATCGTCGTCGTCGTTGTAGCCCTGAATCGTGCCTGTCCCTCTACAGGAGGGATCTTCAAAAATAGTTCAAACATCGTATGGGATTCTTTGTTATTTTTGAACATGTTGGGAGAATGTTTGGGGCATTTTTCATTGTTCGCCCCAAATCCCCCTGTAGGGGGACAGGCCCGACCGAATCGCCCCCGGGGCACAGGCCAGAGGAGTTGCGGGCGAGACAAACATCTCCGACGCATGGCAGTTCGGAGCCCCCCCCTGCATCTTCAGCCAGCGGCGCGGCGGCGCCAGCATACCATTTTGCGTCTTCCTGGATACAGCCCGATGTGTGTTGGCCACATTCGGCTGGAAGAGATTATCACCAAGGCGGGGAATTTCGACCTCATCGCCCTCGCGGGGACGAGTAATGACAGCCGCTTAGACGGCGCGGACGTCCCTAATCGGCGCGTTGCATGGCGTATGGTGGTCAAAACTCAAAATTTCCACGACCGACCCCCGCTTTCGAATTGGTCTCGTGGATGCGCGGTGGCGCTGCCGAGGGGTGCGAAGGATGATGGCATCATCAGCGTGTGGGGCAGTCCTGGCCTCGCTCCATGGCGAGGAGTTGCTGCTCGATTTTCTGCCATAGACGCGTGCGCGACTGCGGTACATTGCCCACCACGGCCAGCCCTTCGTGCCCAGCGGGGAGTTTACTTTCGAATTGTGGCGGCGGTTACCAAGTATCCGATCGGCTTTGGACTCCCTGCCCGTCAGATGTACGCCGCCGTTTCACACGGGGCGCAGCGATAGCATGGGGATGATCTGTCGTGGCGGAGACGGGATAGACACTGATAGTGAGGCGATTGGAGTGGGAAGTCGAGAACGACTCCAGCGAAGTGGCGGCCAACAAATTCGTGAGCCGTTCGAGCTGCGCCAAATGTGGGCGGCCAGCGCTGGGGGCCGTCACGTGGTGCCGACCTTTTTCACCCCCCCGGGCTTCTCGCGCATCGACTTCGTCGGTTTCCCTGTTGGCATGGGGTATTTGAGTCGGAGGCTCGGAGCCGCAACCGCGCGACCATCTCCCGCTGTCGCTCGTGCTGGCGCGGAACACGGGCGGTCAGTTCCACCGGGGGGGAGGAGCAGGTTGCGTAGGACAAGGGCGCTTCCATGCTGGCACTTCGTAGCGGGCCACGTCGCACAGGGCCCTTGGAAAATGAGGAAGAGTGCAGCAGATTCAGACGTACCTGGCATAGAATCTTGACCGCTGCTCGCCCGATGAGATTTCCGAGTTGTTGTAGGGGCCCTGTCGAACGCGGGGATGGGGGCGTTCGCCAAAGAGCGGGCGCACGACGCCGAGAACATCCCGCGCGCCGGGCGGCGCAGGCGCAGGCGCCCACGGCGAGAGCGCGAGAACATGCGGGCACAGACGACGTTCTCAACGCTGGAGCCGTCCGAGGCGCTGCGCCAGCAGATACGAGCGGCCCCCGCCAGGTTGTGCAAGTTACGGCGCCAGGCTTTCCGACGGCGTCGAGCG